AAACCCCTAAGCCCTAAACCCCCTCAAAATCCGAAACCCCCTCAAAATCCGAAACCCTGAGCTGCAGCAGCAATGAAAACACCGGCTCAGGTGGATCGACCCTGACCGAATTGAAGAAGCAGATCGCGAATGTGGAGGTTTCGGCCCCGGCTTCCTCTTCACTGCTTTGCAACAGAGTAACATAGGGGCCCTTAGCAATTAGAATAGGGTTTTGGGGCCCATGATACTATAAGTACAACAAGGAACCCCCAACATAGTGCAGGTAATTATGTAGGCCCCCTACAGTACTTTTCAGTAGTAATGATGTAAGCTGAACTACTATCAGACTCATCGTTCTCACCGGCATCATTACTTTGTCTCTGCGTGTTGGTATGGGTGTTGCTTTTCGCTTTAGCATCCGTGTCGTGGTATTGATGATGATGACACTAATGATGATTTTACGTATCATGTCTGAATTCCTGTGCTTGGTGTTCTCAGCACAGCGACTCTTACTCTCTCTGCACAATCATGTTTTCGTTCTACTCGATTAAGGGGCTTACACCAATATAGGTCAACTGGCTCCAGTGCGTGGAGTTGATTCTGTCAACGTGGCCTCGGTAGAGGGTACCCAAGGCACGGACGTGCTTGGGTTCGTGGATGTCCATTCTCAAAATCTGCGGCAAAAGTGTGACCATAAGGTATTCGCAGCCTTACTTGTATCGTTTTCCTTGCTTGTAGAGATGAACGAGCCTGCAAGTGCAACACTCAGGCCAAGCTGAACCAGCAGAAGAATCTCTATGACAATGTCTGCATGGACAGGTGCGGCACCCTCTATCCGCAGCTCTAAACCCGAAACCCTAAACCCTACACCCTAAACCCTAAACCCTACACCCTAAGCCCAAATTCACCCTAAACCCTAAACCCTACACCCTAAACCCAAATTTCACTGCCCTGGAACCCTGAAGCCTTCGCCAGGTTTACCCTGAAGCCTGAAACCTAAGCCCCAAAGCCTTCCTGGGTTGGCGCTTGAACTCTGCTTCCGCTTCCTGCGATCGCCGGCTTGCTAGCATCCTCTGGAGGTGTGCGATTCTTGGCATGGGGCTTCAGAGTCAGAGAGTCGGGCTTAGAGTTTGCAGTTTCGGGTTGAATTGACTCCTTCCCTTCCACCCGGTCGTGAGTTGAAAATTCAGGACGGGGCTTCTGCTGCAGTCAGCAAACATGTGCATGAGTTCAGGGTAGGATGTAGGATTTAAGGTTTAGGCTTTAGGGTCAAATTTTGATGCGGCTTCGGTAGAGTCTACCGAAGGTCGCTTATGTTTCCCTCAACCTGGAACCCTGCACATGTCTCCAGGGATTGCTTTCAAGTTGTGTTGAAGTGGTTCATGTAGCACGCAAATCAACACAAAGCAGACCTCTGGACGAAAGATGCGAGCCAAACCTAAACCCTAAACCCTAAACCCTAAACCCTAAACCCTAAACCCTAAACCCTAAACCCTAAACCCCAAACCTGTCTTACCCCGAAAGTCCTAGGTCTGTCACGCCAAGCAACAGAGTCTAAGGGAAAGCACTAAGCCCTCAACCCCAAGATTTGAAGCCCAAGGCCCTAAGCCCCCCAAGCCCCAAACTCCCCAAGCCCTCAACCCTAAACCCCCCTAAACCCCCCAAGCCCTAGAACCCCTAAACCCTAAACCCTAAACCCTAAACCCTAAACCCTAAACCCCTAAACCCTAAACCCCTAAACCCCCCTGAACCCGAAAGCTTCCTACGTAAACCTCACTTGGAGGTTCATGGGTAGTTATAAGTAGGGTTATAAGTCCCCTAATATGGGTTATAACTATAGTTACCCTACTTATAGCCCCACTTATATGAACCTCCAAGTAGACTCATCCCTAAGCCCCGAAGGC